ACAATACTCCACGTCTCGAATTCCTCTTGTTCTTCCTCCAGTATCACATATTCGTCTTGCCAGTGGTGTCCCCAGTCACTCAGATCGCTGTCCCAGCCCTGATCATACTCGTCCAGCTTCTCTTCTTCAACTCCCTCTCGCTGCATCCTCAAATCCTCATCCGGCTCCATCCTCCCCCTCAACTCCCCGCTAGCCCACTCAACAAGACTACACCTCTGCACCTCCCCCGGCGCCGGAACCTCCCACTCCGTGCCCACCCCAAACTCCGCACAAGCACACTCCCGATCCAAAGTGCACCAACACGAACACGTACAAGTCCCCCCACCCACCTCCGAGCATTCATATCCGCAGCCAAGGAACCAACACCCAGACAAGTTCCTATGCCACTGCCAGGTATACTCGCCCCACCACCAGAAGCCTGGTATCACGGGTAGAGCGGGTTCGTTGCGGCTACGGCAGCGTTGTTTGAGGATTTTAGGAAGTGTGAGAATGCAGGCTAGTGTGGCGTGGGCGCGGATCTCGGAGAGGGAGGTGGGGAGGGTTGTTTCGTGAGGTTTTGCGAAAGGCGCGGTAGGGATGGTGGCGCTGACGCGACCGGGTCGCCTGCCGTCGCGCATGGTGTGTGGGAGGATGATCAGCGGCGCGGGGCTCGTGGGTTCGCCGTAGATATGTATACGGCGTTCTTTGACGTGCCGCATCTCTGCGATGCGACGCCGAGCCCAGGTTCCAAAGTCCTCGCCTGTTATAATGTCCCCGGTGGCTGTGCCCTCGAAGATGTGGGCATTCTTGCCAAAGAGTTCGTAGGCTTCTATGTCGTCCATATGCTCCATGTCTACTTCATGCGCCCATCTGTCGTAGCAGTCGTCCTCCCATTCCTGAATGTCTGCCTGTTTGTACTCGTGCCGAAGCTGGTTCTCTCGTGCGAGGCGATATCGGTCGTTGCGACGACGCTTGTTGCCGCTGTAGATGCGCTCGGGGTATCTCTTCGATCGTTGGCGTACGCGACGGGCTGAGCGGAGGTCTCTGAACGGGTGGTCTGAAGTCCGGCCAGCGGCATTCATCGCAGGTTCGGAAGGAAGGGTAAGGAAGCCGAAGGGCAGGTCCTCGTGTGTTTCTGGCAACTCGCCCATACAGGCTGTGCACCAGTCGGCGGGATGGCCAGCCCATTCGAGCGTCTTCTGCTTCATCCTGACAGGTTCGAGGCGAAGGGCTCCTGGAGCGACTTGCAGACGGAAGGCCTAGCTGTGTAAGTTATTCAGAGGTTAGCCATCATTATAGCAGTCCCAAGTGACCATGAAGCCCCTTGGCTATGTCATCATGAGGCGTTCTACAATCTTCGCGGCTCAGCCCTCGCGCGATGGGCGAGGGCGCATGGCTGCGCAGAAGGGCGGAAGTCGACGGGAATGTTGCCGCAGGATCCAGCGACGACGTTGATCTATAATCAATGTGTGTTTGTAATCTTCCGTATTAGGCGCAGGCTTGCAAAGCACTTCTCTTGTACCAGATTATAGTGATTGTTCAGATGGGTGTGGAGAGGGACGGTGTGGTGACAAAGTTGGTGTTGGGCGCAGCTGCGTTCAGAAGGCGCGTGGTAACTTACTAGACACCCGCAATCGACGGCTTTTGTGGAGTTGCCTAATTCGGACCAATCGCGAAACAGCACACGGCCACAACCTCCAATGCCTCATCTCAATCTCAGATCCACTGATTTGATGAATGCGCTGTTAACATTCGCACACAATGCTGTTAATACCTGAACAACACCTTGTCGATATTGCTAATCCTGGTTGATCGGTGAAGTCTTCAGAGCACTTGTCAGATATATGTCTCAAATTGAGGGTGTATCTTCTTTGACGCTGAGTACAACTCGCATAATGCAAGCTTTTTCCGTAAACAGCCAACAAAGCTCTAATACACGTGAAACTCTTCAAGCTCAGGTTCGCTAGCCTGCAACTTCCTTGAGCACATATGACGCAGTCGCTCGCGAAACTTCGTTTGATTCGACCATTGAGGAGAAAACGCGATGCTCTTAATTTGAACGCCGTTCCTACCATCAGAACAGGGGCGGACAATTATCGGTATCTCGACACCTGGACATCGGATAATGAGATCACCTGGCTTGACATTTCGTCGACACTCGCCTATGCTGGCACGTCCGAGCGGTCCCGGGTTGGACCCCTGGAACAGTATTGTTGAGTCGTCTGCTAGAGCATTGCACACGGCGATATGGGTTCTGAGTAAATCAAGTTCTGTGGCCTTTGAAGTTCCCCAACTCGAGCCATCTCGCAAAAGGGATAAAAGCGCTGGGACCTCCTTGCGTCTGTGTCTGCATATGAAGCGTTCCCAACAGTCGAATTGAGCGAAAGTGCCGATGTGTCCATAGAATGGTAAATTCATGTTCGTTATCTCGAGAATCTGAAGCAGTCGTCCCAGATTGTGAATGTGTTTACGATATTCGGCCTGCTGGTATGTCGACTGAGTCTTGTAGAAGTCGAAGGTTGCAACGACTACGCCTTGTCGACGGCCATGGATTGATATCGCATGATCGCCCACCATAGAGATACGTATATTGCCTAGATTTTGGCGATCCTTGTCGTCTGCAACTTCACCAGGGGTGGCAAGAACTCGTGTCCGGTCAACATCACCAAAATCGCAATGTTTGCTGGTGCCGAACGGACACGAGCTCTTCTCACCGCTGGTGACGTGATTAGAGCGAATGAGTCTTTCGATATCACCCCATTTGTTCTCTCGGTATTCATTGGGCGTCCAATCCGGTACCCAAGACGGCTGCCCCTTCATGTTGTTCATTGCAGCGATCAGGACTAGATGGGGTGACCCTGTTATCTGGACTAGAAGCCGAGAGAACGAAAAGTAGATCGCTTCCTTGGATTCTCCATAATCTACCTGGGGAAGAGGATGCCGGGTGCGACGTTGCAAGATAGCCCAAAGGCCAAAGGCCATGTCTTTGGACACTGCAGCATCTCGGGTGTAAACACCGTCAATGAGATCGTTCACGTTGGTTTGGCGTTCTCCATTGCGGTACAAAACGCGCGGGGATGATAATAAGACCAGGCGTACCATCATCACGAGAATGATGAAGACGGCTGTCAACGAAACGGCCAGAATTACTTTGCGCTCATGAGGATCGGAACCAAGCAAGGCGGACCAGAGCAGGAAAACGAGTAATAACCCGAGGAAGTAGAAAGTTGCTCGATCGGTTAGGCGGTGAAGTCGACACATGCGTCTCGAAAATTCTGCATAGACTTCCAAAGAGGAGTCGCGCGCAGGATCTGAAGTTGTGCACTCCGGATTCATGTCTTGCCTACTCATAGCAACTCTCTTCCAAGGGCACATGTAAGACCCGAGACGAGGGCTCGCAGTAGCCAAAAAGACCAGACTGATTGCGAATCTGTCCCAGCAGATATGAGTGCTGCCGCAAACTATAATCGGGTTGGAGGCGAGAAGGATCTCTTGGTAGGTCCAGAGTCTACTGATCCAAGTCCGCTGTAGCAGATCCAAAAGGTCCGCTTCGGTTGCGTATTTTGTTTCTCTGTTGAACAATCGCAGTATGTAAGGACTCAGCGGGCCTCGCCATGTTCCGACAGAATCTTCTCAAGTCAGCGTAGATACGAGTTCGAGGTTATGACGCTTACCATGAAACACGAAAGGGTGCCTTGTCAAGCTCCAACGTGCTATAGTAGCAGAAAAGGCTGCGAGAAATGGGCGCCCATAATCAGCTCCGGGGGTTTTGGTATCACCACCCAACGCCTGGAAGTAGTCCAAGAAGCCAGCGGTTTCCATATATTCAATTGCGCGATCGGTTTTCTCGTTACCTTCGCCGAGCCACACGTACACAGTTGCTGCTCGCGAGTATACATCTCCCATCAGCGGAATCTGGTGTTCCTTTTCCTTCGTGTTCTTCTGGTCGATGCAGATCGCATCAATCCATATCGTAAAAGCGCCAAATCGCGTGCGTAGGTGCTGTAGCGCTGAATAGCCATTGACAGAGACGACGATGTCCACGCCGTTGCATGTAATAGTTCGATTGTCTTTCGGTGAGCCCCAGACGTAAGAGATGGCGGTAAAGTCGGGAGAGGTCTCTAGATCCACGATGCGGAGATGACCGACTACAGCGGCTGCTTCAGTCGACGCTCCATCGACATCGAGAACGCGTATGCACTTCGAGCTTGGAGGTATAGGTAACGAATGGTATGGCGCTGCGGCGGAGCCATGGGCCATGACAATTGATGCCTATCAACAAAGCATAATAAACCTCGGGTTCTGCGAAAAGGATAGATACGGCGGAGAGACGCGCTGCAACATGTCTATTAACGGTGTAGACCACAACACATGCAGGGGCAGCCAAGGAAACGTGGCTTGAGCGAAACTGTATTGTTGACTATTTCAGGTTGGCTTCGGTTCACGATGCTATCAAGGAGGCTATTGGGGGCCGGCCCGCATGATTGTATGGCTTCGCAAATGCTGTCTCTCAAATAAGGGACTTCGGGATGCCGTAGGTAGATTTGAGTAGGTACACATCGCCCCCAAGTCCATGGACGATTCCAGGGGCGTTGGTGCAGGAAATGAAGACGGTGCTTGAGCTTAGCTGGGTGCATATCTCCGAAGCGCCCAGGGCTGCCAGCCTACCAGCCACCCGCAGCCGCAGCCGCTCCTTTCACCACCTGTGCAGCCTTTCCACGGCAACAGCAGAAGATGACCGCGAGGAAACAGCCGTCGCGATAGATTACGAGTGTCGCACCTGGCTCGAGCGGCTCACGCGACGTTCGAATCGAAGCAATGTGTGTCTTGCGCAGTGCTGCGACATCTGCCGAAGAATGATCGACTCGGCTTCGCGATGACGTAATGTTCGCCTTGCACTGATTGATGATGCCAACACGCCCGTGAGATGCATTCCCGCCCGCCTACTCCAATATATCTTTTATATATCCAATCTGAAGAAACAAGACCAGTGGAGTTTGGAATATTGGGATTTGTTCACCATGGCCTCAAACACCTCGTCCACAGTCCCCCTCTGGATCGACAACAAGCCCATCCACACGCAAACCACCATTCCCGTGACCCAAGCCAGCACCTCCAAAACCATCCACCACGCCTCCTCCGCCTCCACCACCGAAGCAACCCAAGCAGCCATCTCTTCCTTCTCCGCTTTCAAATCCTGGCGCTCCACCTCCCACACCACCCGTCGCAATCTCCTCCAAAGCGTAGCCACCTACTACGACACCCACGCCCCCTCTCTCATCGCCACGCAAATCGCCGAAACCTCCTGCACAGAAGCCTGGGCGCGTACAAACGTCAATCTATCCATCTCGTACCTCAACGAAATCGCCGCGCAGATAAGCAGCGTGACCGGCGTTATCCCCCCGACTGAGAAACCCAACACCCAGGGTTTTGTGTTTAAAGAGCCGATCGGACCAATCCTATGTATTGCGCCCTGGAATGCCGCACTCGTGTTAGCAACGAGAGGGATAGCAAGTGCCATAGCAGTTGGCTGCACCGTAGTCTTCAAAGCGAGTGAACTCTGTCCCCAAACGCACGGACTCATCACGCAAGCTTTCGCCGAGAGCGGGTGTCCAGATGGCGTGTTGAACCAGGTGCAATGTGGGCGGGAAGATGCGGCTGAAGTGACCGAGACGTTGATAGCGCATGATGCGATTCGTAAGATTGAATTCATCGGTAGTGCGGAGGTGGGGAAGAAGATCATGGGCATCGCGGCCAAGTATCTCAAACCGGTTCTGATGGAACTAGGCGGGAAGTGTCCGGCGATTGTGCTTGAAGATGCGAATCTGGAGGAGGCAGCAAAGCAGTGCGGGATGGGGGCTGTGTTGAATCATGGGCAGATTTGCTTTAGTACTGAGAGGATTATTGTGATGGAGGCGGTGGCGGAGAGGTTTAAGACGTTGCTTGTGGAGGCTATGAAAGGGGTGGAAGGACCGGCTGGGTCCGCGGTGTCTGAGGGTATTAAGAAGCATGCTGCGGATGTTATAAGGGATGCGCAAGAGAAGGGCGATGAGGTGCTTGTTGGTGGGGTTGAGGCTACTTCTCCTGGGGGTGGGCTTGCGCTCAAACCTACGATCATCGTCAATCCCTCGCCTTCATCCCGTATCCTCGACGAAGAGACGTTCGGTCCTTCCGCTTCGCTTTACGTCGTTTCTTCAGATGAAGAAGCCGTCGCGTTGGCGAATCGCTCAGCATATGGTCTCAACGCTACGGTTTGGACGCGCGATATGGCTCGTTTCATGAAGATGTCGCGGGAACTGGAATATGGTCAAGTTCATGCCAACAGCATTTCAGTGTACACATCGCCTACTGGAAGTCAAGGCGGCGTCAAAGGAAGTGGGTTTGGGCGACAGAATGGACAGTGGGGACTAGACGAGTTTGTTGTCGAGAAGTTTGTCACTTGGTGTGGGTGAAGTGGGAGGCCTTGACATTACTCAAGAAAGACCACGCATTCAGGAACACGCAAAGGTTAATTTTACTGTTTTATTGTTTCAGGTGATGACCACGTCGTACTCTCATATACGGAAAAGTCCAACACACCCCAAGTATTAGTACCAATAGGCAGATTATTATTTCCTTCCATCCTTCCCCCTCAACCCAGAACGTGGACAAACACCAATGGCCCTTACCAGGTAAAAGTCATCAACTGGGGGTTGAGCACAATTGGCAACAAAAAGTGGAAGACGACCACGGTGCCCATAGGCCAAACGGCAATGAGCTCCTTGATCCTCCAATCCTCTTGTAGAGCAAAAGCCATGGTAATCATGATCGCAGTCATGCCAATGCAGAACATGAAGCTCCACTTGAACTTCCTCAGCACCCTGCTGATGGCGACGAAGAAACTGACTTGTTCGGTTTCCTTGGAAGTGGAACCCCACTCAAGAGGCCAGCTGACGAAATGCGCGAGGAGAGCTTGCGAGACGTGTAGAGAGATGCCGCCGAGGAAGATGCTGAGGAGAGGGATCCATTTGATGTTTGTCCAGAGGCCGCCGAAAAAGGAACCCTCGCCGATGCGGTAGCGGAGGACGGCGAGAGCGATGTTACCGAGGACACTGAAGACGATGATGATGGCGAAATAGACTGATGGGTGTTAGTGATGCGCGAGACGAACAATAACGTGATGCTTACCGCGGAAGGAGTTGATGTAGTAATGGTCTAGCCATCCGTTGAAGAAACCGATTAAGAAGTAATTGAGCATGGTGAGAGCCCATGAGCAGCCGAGAGCGTAGTAGGTACCGATGTAAGCCATGATGGTGACTTTAGATGCGAGAGGCATGTTGGAACTGATATCATCGAGTTAGTTGACGGACAGATAAGGCGACACGATCTTTGAAGATCTACTTACAAAATAAAGGTGCGGAAGAGCTTGGTGAAAGGACCTCGGGTAAACCAGTAGATCAAGGGGTTGAAGATGAGTTCATTGCAGCCATATGCATACCTAGAGAATGTGAGTTAGCAGTCGTAAGAGAGAGACGTTGAAAAGGGCAAGCATACTTCTCCCATCGGGCAAGCTCGTCATATACGGTAAGCGATACACCCTCCTTGAAGCCATCACCCTGGTATGAGGCCAATCGAATGATGTAACCAGCACTCTGCAGCCGCAGACTCATATCGAAATCCTCAGACACCGTCTCCTCGGACCAAAATTTGTCGAACGTGTGGCCGTCTTCTGTGACCTCGTAAGCCACCTTCTGAAGTGCCTCCCATCTCAGGATAGCGTTGTGGCCGACAAAAGGCGCGACGTCTCCACCAGCGACAGCAAATCGAATCATGGTGTAGATCATGTTGGTGAAGAAAGTGATGCCGTTTTCGAAGAAGCTGTTGGTGACGTTCATGACTCCGGAAGAGTACTGTAGGATGGCCACTTCCTGACCCTGCTCCATTTCGCTGACGGCTTCGAGCAGGCAGTCCTTAGGCACACGGGTGTCGGAATCGACGAGGAGAATGTGATCGCCAATGCGGATGTTACCATCAACCCAAGCCCTGCCGTCGTGTTCAGCCCTGACGGATTCCAAGACTTCCCTGTAGAGGTCATTCTCGTCCAACTGGCTCCAGTTCTCTCCACGTTCATGTTGTGCCATGGCCTCTTCAACCCTGCAGCTGATTCTTAGGGCGTAGTTCATGTTGGATGCCTTCTTGAATTTTCCGGGGCGGACGAAGACAAACGGATCCGGTCCGTGCTCGCCCTTGGGATCATGCCTTGGGCGCGCCACCCAGCCAATGCCATGCTCGTCGTAAAATTCCTGGCGCTCCCTGGATTCCTCGGCTCCGAGAACCTGCACTAGGAAATGTCAGTGGGGCTTACATTACGCACTGGCGCAGCACTTACTTCCGTCGTCGTTGACGAAGATATTGGCACTTCCTCCCTGAAGCTCGTAGGTAGAGATGGCTTGCTTGAGCGACCGAATGGTGGGCTCAATGACACTGCGTAAACCCTCCTTGTAAACGGGCATCTGGATGGTTACATGTGGAAGCGGGCCGTTAAAGGTATCACAGTTGAGGCGCCTGGGGGCTTTGCCGGAGTAGTAGCGGCTGTTCTCTTTCATCTGATCGGTGGGGCCAATGATTTGGGCAAAGTTACCGACCAGAGCTTGGAAGAAGAACTAGTATAGTCAGAAGCGGAATCATAGAGTGCAGACATATGGCTTACCAATGATAGCCAGACTTGCGCGGGCAAGCAAATGAGGAAGAGCAGACGAAGCCAGTGCTTTGGGGCTTGGAACTCTTCGATCGCGATCTGCCTGTACCCGGATCCGATCGCTACCGTCAGGAGAAGAATGGACATTCCGCAGTAGGCAGCTTGCCACATCTTCATGTCTCGGGCCTCCTCACCATTGGCTTCTCTAGAATCGCGCGAGTCGTCGTAATCTTCCATGTCGTTTGCGGGGTTCTTCCCTGACTTCTCCAACTCCAAGTCGTGCGCATCATAGCCGTATTCAGCTCCACACATCATCCTCATCATACAATTGATGATGAACTCAGCGCGTTCGAGCGTCAACTTTGGGTCATCCTGCCACACTACCAGCATGCCTCGTGAGGCGATGAAAGCAGCGGACTGACCCCTCTGACAGTGTGGCAAAGCTTCAAAATCGGGAACGATTTGCAAGCGAAGGCCGCTCTGGATTTGCACATACTGGGTATTGCATCGCTCAAGAATGTACTGGATGGCCCTGGTGTTGACGGTCATAGCGCACTGCAAAGTATTAGTGACAATGCCGTGCGGGTGTTTGGCGTTGTTAGACTTACTCGGACGTTCAACTCGGTAACAGCTTCAATGAGACCTGTACCGTCGGTACGAAGCGCATCGGGAGCGCAGGAATAGCGTCCCCTTGACTTCTTCATGAAGACACCTTCGCCAGCTGATCCAAAGGTCCATACCCGCTCCTCCTGCTTGGTGTGGAGCCAGTTGGCCAGGAGCTCAGCCTTGACGTCGACAAGAGCATCTGTGCGCACGGTACTGTCGCTGCCGTGGATGCTGGGAGCCCCGCCGGAATGAGCGCTAGCTGGGCCAAGCTGCATAGGTGTGAAGCTAGCCGGTGACTCGTCGCCAGCTCGGGGTGTTGGCGCCAGAGGATTTTGGGGGGGAAGTTCCTCGCTCCCAGGAGTGTCGTTATGCGGTCGAGAGACATTGTCTCCTTTTCTGAAAATGCCGGGTAACCTCATTTCTGCGTCTTCTCATATGAAGCCAGGGTGGAGAAGGTTTGTGCGATGTGCGTCTGAACGACGAAGAACAAAGGTGCACACGGATGTTAGGTAACGACTGAGAAGAAGGTAACACCAAGCGGGCAGCGAGGTGAAGAGATACTCAGCCTGATATTTAAAAAGTGCACACTTTTTCTAGGTGTACGTGCGGTGGGAGAAGTACCCACACTACTATAAGCGATTACCAGCAGCCACAACTGCACGAGTTCAGTATGAAAACAGTGTAGTGTGGCGATAGGCAATTGGTACTGGTACGCCTAACCTGTATTGAAGTTGTCTTGGGTGAGCCATGCAGGATAAGGTGGACTTGGAGCTTCATGGTGCCACGGAACCCCAGATAAAAGTAGTCTTGTTGGGTCGTGGTGGAAATCGCGTCTGTGCTCTGTTACATGAGCGCTACCGCATGCTCTTTCTTGCCTCCACAGCCAGTAGATACAACACTCGGACATGTAACGAGGTTGCTCATGGAGATAAGATGCGCTATCATCAGTGACATTGGAACCGTACCAACTTGAGAGTGTTTGTAGCTTTGGGGCTGTTTTAGCCAATGGCTCGGCAGTGTGTACAAGTGCCAGATACCCCTAAGCCCTGTGAATATGTCGGAACTGCCTGGCAGATCGTTTAGGAAAGACGCGACAGCGTTTCTGTGTGTGTGTGAGATGACGCGATGCTGAACATAGCTTGTGGGTAACGATACGCGAACGGGAGGTCCGCGCATCCAAAAGAAAATCCCATCTTCTTACATGAAATATGGTCTTGGGAGGCCAGGCGTCCTTTGTGTTGCCACTGAGGTGGGGCGCCTATAGCTTAACAGCGGGCCAGCTTTGCGCGCTTTAGACCACGCGCATCGAGAAAACCGTAAAGCCCGTCATTGCTACGCAACAATCGTGTCTTATTACCAAGATTACCGCAGACCTAGACGATTAGACAAAGTGAGGTTGGAAAGATCAACGGTTCTTTAGCGAGGACCCACGCGTGACGAATCCGCGTCGCTGCGTTCGCATTGCCAACGATGTCGCACCACCGATACAAGCATGGACCGAAAGAGAACGAAAAGAGATTGTGTACGAGCCTGTAAAGCCATAGCGACCACAAGATCACCGCCTCGCCACAAAGATTGCGACGGGCCCAGCAGCGCCAGAAGAGCTCTGGTCTTTGGCCCAGACACGTGACCCTTAACGGATACGTTTACTGCTGGACAAAATGGAAGACAGTTGCATGATTTTCATTGGTGTGTGAACTCCGTCGCGTAGAAGACTTTGGAAAATGCCGCAAGTTTAGTCATCGAATCCTGGAATATGGTGCGACCCACGTACTCCATGCGCCTGGGCGAAAAGTCGACAAGATGTAAAATTGAAAAGGAAATGGGGAGTTTGGGATCTCAAACACGGCGGATTTTAATCGGCAAGTCTAGAGAATTAGTATATCGCTTCCACAAGCAGTGCATGAAGTCACTCACCTGTAGCTCACTAGTGTGTCCACACGATGGTTGCTTGTGCTGAAGCTGCGCAGCTGCACCTTCTCCCCATTCTTGATCTCCTTGGCGTCACTGTCACCCCACTCGAGAGGCACTTCAGAGTCCGCGTCGGCATAGACAAGAACGTTGAAGGTACAGTTTCCGTCCAGCATTGGTAGGAAAGTCACGGAGGCGGTGATCTGCCTGAAGACAGACTGGATCTCGGCCTGGATTTCAGCTTCGGTCTTGTCTTCTGATGCTTCGCTGGCACTGGGAGTTGTCAGCATGTGTTCAAGATGGCTGGCCTTTTTCGCTCACTCTGGAACGGAGTTCTCTTGGTCTGCCGTCTTTTTGGAAGATTTTGCCTTGGCGCTCTTTCCGTAGATTTGTACGTCGAATTGCCAGCGTTCAACATGCTCTCCAGTCTCTTTGCTCGTGATGACGATGACAAGCTTTGAGATCTTGCCCCCGTACATCCACTCCTTCAGCTGGCCCATGATCTTCTTGATGTAGGCCTTGACTTGGTCATCGGCAGTCACTGGGAAGGTTAGAGTGTGGCTGATGGCAGGACTGGCAGGTTACGTACCCATCATAGTCAAACCATATTTCTTCACGCTGCATCTCGTTAATGGCTGGTTGGGGTCGAGGTGTAGTACAGGCTTACGCGGTGAAGTCCTCGGCGGGGTACACGCCTCTTTGGAATCTGAGCAGAGTAAGTCACTTAAGTCATAGGCTACAATGCGCTCATCATGCTTACAGAATGGTGTTTACGGAATACTCGAACTAATTGGGGTAAGCGTAGGATGCGTTGCTTGGCCTGACCGACTTACAAACTCATTGACGAGTTTAGAAGAGCCCTTGAGCGCAAGCTTGTGCACCTTGGAGGAATCGCTCTTTGAGGACTTTGATTCGCCCTTTGAAGATTTGGACTTGGAAGAGGTCTTGGGTTGAGACATTGCGGTGATAGCGCGTCGTGAAGGTTGGCGGTGTGTTGTTTACGGGGTTTGTTGATAGGGTAACTGCGACCAGCGTGACCCGGCGGAACAGGAAGCAACGAGACAGCGCAGCAAGACTGTTCAAAGAGGGCGCAATCAACGACAGAGTGTCTCCGAAGATCAGAGTTAGGCCTAGTATGCTTGCGGGGTACTGGAGATGTTCACGGGTCGGATGGGAGGTCTGGTAGTGGGTCGGGGTGCAGATGCAGGAACCGCCCGTCGCCGATAAGATAAGATGGATCAAAAAAGTCGTCGACACCACCGCCCGAGCGACGAGCAGGCAGGCACGGATCCGACCTCATGCCCACTCATGCGATCATGCGTGCGAACTGCGAGCAGCCTTCTGCACGGCTGGCGGACGCCCTCGGCCCGCTGCAATGGCTTCCCGCGCACCTCACGCCTGCTTGAGCGCCTGCCGCCCCTCGCCAGAAACTATGCGCAGGCCTTCCGCCCCCAGTCAGAGCTCGAAAAGCGCATCGCCGACATCCCCATCGACCGCTACCGCAATTTCTGCATCGTCGCCCACGTCGACCATGGCAAGTCGACCCTCTCGGACCGCCTGCTGGAGATCACGGGCACCATCCAGCCCGGCGGCCAGAAGCAGTTCCTCGACAAGCTCGACGTGGAGAGGGAGCGCGGCATCACCGTCAAGGCACAGACATGCAGCATGATATACAACCACGAGGGACAGGACTACCTGCTGCATCTGGTGGACACGCCCGGCCACGTCGACTTCCGAGCCGAGGTGTCGCGGAGTTATGCGAGCTGTGGAGGGGCCCTGCTGCTCGTGGACGCCAGCCAGGGCGTGCAGGCGCAGACAGTCGCCAACTTCTACCTCGCCTTCGCCCAGGGCCTCACGCTGGTCCCCGTGCTGAACAAGGTCGACCTCCCCCACGCCGACTCGCCGCGGGTGCTTGAGCAGATGCACGAAACCTTCGAGCTCGACCCCAAAGACGCCGTACTCGTCTCAGCCAAGACCGGCCTCAACGTCGCGGCCCTCCTTCCTACCGTTGTCGACAAGATACCCGCCCCAGTCGGCGATCTGAAGAAGCCTCTCCGCATGCTCCTCGTCGATTCGTGGTACGATGTATACAAGGGCGTCATCCTGCTGGTGCGCATCTTCGACGGGCAGGTGCGGCCTGGGGACACCATACGCTCCTTCGCAACTAAGTTGAAGTACATTGTGGGCGAGGTTGGCATTATGTACCCCGACCAGACCCCGCAAACGGTGCTCAAGGCTGGGCAGGTGGGCTACATCTACTTCAACCCTGGCATGAAGCGCTCGCAAGAGGCCAAGGTCGGCGACACCTACACCACCATTGGATCTGAGAAGCTGGTAGAGCCCTACCCAGGCTTCGAGGAGCCCAAGAGCATGGTCTTCGTCTCCGCATTCCCCACAGACCAGGACCTCCACGAGCATCTCGAAGACAGCATCCAGCAGATCATCCTCAACGACCGCAGCGTTACATTGCAGAAGGAGTCGTCCGATGCTTTGGGGGCTGGCTGGCGCTTGGGCTTCTTGGGCACACTGCACTGCTCCGTCTTTGAGGACCGCTTGCGTCAGGAACACGGTGCCAACATCATCATTACACCGCCCTCAGTACCCTTCAAAGTCATCTGGAAAGACGGCACCGAGTCCATCATCACCAACCCCAATGAGTTCCCCGATCAAGACCAAGCGCATTTCAGAGTGCAGGAGGTCCATGAGCCCTACGTATCTGCAACCATCACAATGCCTGACGAATATCTTGGTGAGGTCATCAAGCTTTGCGAGGCCAATCGCGGCGAGCAGAAAGAGCTTACCTTCTTCACCGCCACCCAAGTCATTCTCAAGTACGACATCCCGCTGTCGCATCTTGTTGATGATTTCTTCGGCAAACTCAAAGGCTCCACCAAAGGTTACGCCTCTCTTGACTACGAAGACGCAGGCTTCCGCAGGTCGTCCATCATCAAGCTCAACCTACTTGTCAACGGCTCCCCAGTCGATGCCGTGTCACGCGTCCTGCACACATCGCAAGTTGATAGGGTGGGCCGCATATGGGTCGAAAAGTTCAAGGAGCATGTCGAGCGACAAATGTTTGAGGTCATCATACAGGCTGCAGCCGGCAGGAGAATCGTGGCGCGAGCTACCATCAAGCCGTACCGCAAGGATGTCCTCGCCAAGCTCCATGCTAGTGATCTCAGCAGACGGCGCAAGCTCCTCGAGAAGCAGAAGGAGGGCAGGAAGAAGCTGAGGTCGGTAGGGAGTGTCGTTATCGAGCAGGAAGCGTTCCAGAAGTTCTTGGCCAAATAGAAAAATCAATCGTCTTATCCGCTCTTCATCACGTACCCCAGCGCTAAACCCCCGGGTGCGAACACACGGCAGAACTCGCCGTTGGCCAAGCCCGTCCGCTCGTTCGTTAGGACGGCATGTCCGATAATTCTCAACCGTGTGCATAAGTCGCGATAGTATAATACTAGACATGCATCGCCATTCAGCGCCATGACATTGAGCCTGCAACAGGCCCCGATTCTCCCTCCCGTTCCCCTATCAACCTTGGAAGCGTTGATTCGCTGGTCATCCCATCCGATATCACCCAACAATAGCAACAATACAACGGTTCACCGCGCTCAGCCGTTTCGGCTAGTAACGAGTCATCTCGATGCCGAACAACTGGTGGTCTGCGAAGTCCGTGCAGTGTCTCAACGTGCTCGATCTTTCAGCTGATCAGCGCTAACAGGTCGATGACATCAGCCAGCCATCGAGATCGCGCGTGTCGGCCTTTTCCAAGAACCACTCGGCTTGCGTTACAGCTCGCGTACCTGACAGCAACGATCTCTAGTGCGGCTTGGATCTGTGGCTAAGCCGTCTCCAGCTTGGTGTCGCGATACTCGACCGTGGGTTGCATAATGCTTCGGACGGTACGCTTGGGGAAGTGCGCCGACATGACGTTTGCCCGAGGGCCAACTTTTCTACGTGTCGGAACCGAGAGAGACATTGGCAGGGCGTCAACAGCCTTTGTTCAAGCACAATTAAACCTACGAAGCGAACCTTTTCAGATCCAGCTGATACTGGGATATTTACACTTCGAGTGACAGGTCGTGGGCTGTATCTTGATGTCTAGCGGCATGTAGCGCATCTTGACAACGCTCGCTAATCTCTGCAGAGCCTAGCCGACCATGTTGACATCAAGGATGCCATGAACCTCCGAACGGCACGCTTGCGACGATCCTGCGGGCATGACGTTAGGCTGATGGCCAGACCAGGACGCCTGGACGGGCGGGCAACATGGGCAAATCTCAAATCTAAGAGACGTGCCGCTGCGGGCTGCAATACCTGCGTTGGTATGAGTTTGGGTTGTTCCTCGCACTTGACAGCCCGCAGGACGGTCTTTTCAATCTCCTGCTCCCCTGCGTGACTTGTCGAGGCTTCATCAAGATGGCGAGATTCTTGGGCCTCAGAGGTCGCAGTCTAGCGAGCGCCATTAGCATCACGTGTGGGCTTTGCTTTTTGTGAGTTACCCCATCCGTGTGTGTCGCGTAGATTATTCAAGGACTAATCTGTCAAAGATGTTTCGGCTATGCCCAGGGTGTTATGGGCGGTCTCTTGACTGTCCAGCAGTTCTTGGACAGATTCCCTCAGGTTGACATTGTCAATCAGAGTTCGTTCCACAATGCGTGGGTCACAGGTACGTCGAACCAAGTCTTATGGGCGCATCAAGGCCTCAGATTGGTACTGGAGCATGCAGGGTCCTGACTGACATCAATAGGTCTTACGGTCGGGACATGGCATCTGGGCTGTATCGTCTCAGCCATCGCGACAATCTTCGTTGGTGACCTGCTTGGACGTCGGCGCACACTCATCCTTGGTCTTACCTTCTGGGTGATTGGTGAAATCATTCAGACGTCTTCCTACAGCTTTCCGCAGTTCATCGTCGGTCGCGCGATCGCTGGTTTCGGTAAGCTCTTTCACATCTTGTAGGACAGAACTCCGGACACGAAGACTGACGCTGCGACATAGGCAATGGCTTCACCACTTCCACCGCCCCCGCATACCAGGCAGAATGCGTCAAGTCGCATCGCAAAGGAACCATTCTTATGATCAGCGCAGGAGCGTTTGTCTCCGCCGGTATCGCGCTCTCGTACTGGTTCGTCTTCGGCTTCGCATACCTCACTAGTTCGTCGGCATCATGGCGCGTCCCTATCGCTCTACAGATCATGTTCGCGCTCCCCGCCATCGCAATGCTCTTCGTGCTTCCCGAATCGCCGCGATGGCTCATCCTTACTGGACGGGAACAAGAGGCGCTCACTGTGCTCGCAGCGCTGAACGATGATGAGCCCGACAGTTTCGAGACGAAAGACGAGTTCCTACAAATCAAGGACGCCATCTTGATCATGGCACAAGGGTCGAGCGCTGGCCTGTTCTCAAACAGGGAGCGCAGAGGTTTCCACCGTGTTGTGTTGGCGTACTTCGTGCAAGTCTTCCAACAGGGCACTGGTATTAACCTGGTCTTGCAGTATCTCTCGTGGATCTTCTTGACACGCATGTCCTTCGAGGGGTGGTTGGCTCGTCTTCTGGCATCCTGCTCAGCGACTGTCTACTTCCTTGCCTCGTTCATCGTCGTTGTCGGTATTGATCGCTTCTGGGGCCGTCGCTCACTGATGATGTTTGGTGCTTCGGGCATGTCAGTGTGCATGGTACTGATTACTATCCTACAGTACCTATGGTCCGAGCACAATATGCAGGCTGGAAGGATCGCCAGCACTGTGTTCTTGTTCATCTTCTCCGTCTTCTTCGCTATTGGATGGCAGGGTATGGCTTGGTTGTACCAGGTCGAAATCGTGCCACTTCGGATTCGTGGGCCTGCTAACGGTCTTTCGACGAGTGCCAACTGGTTGCTCAACTTCGTGTAAGTCACAATCCGGGTCCATCGCATTAGCTGCGCGACTAACATTGAAACAGCATTGTCTTCATCACCCCG